CACCATGATATGTAAACACATGGACAGAGAGATAGATGAGAAGCAGGTACACTGACAGATGATGTGCAACAGTAAACATAGAGAATCATTTGTATAATGGCTGATAAATGGGGAAAAGGAGTACAGTAATAACTCAGAGGAGGTGAAACCTCTAATAAGTTATAAAGCTCCACCCTGTCTCAGTAAGTGATGATATGTCAGTATCAATATCATACTTTGCCATTATATATATTTTAACAGCATGCATCTGATAACACGATGAAGAAAAAACGGTCACAAATTGTACAAAAGAAGAAAATATTCTGTGTCTTTATTATTCTGTGTATTCTTATTCTGTTGTTTTAGGAATATGTGGACAATCCACTTTTGAGATTGTATTGCTTATCGTAACTGCTGCTTTGTACTAGTTGTTAAAAGGACGAATAAGACTGTTAAACTGCATATCTAAATCACATGTATCTATCTTTGATTAGGAAACACTTAAATCCGCCATAGATGGATCGAATCTCGGCTGGTTCAGCAGGGCCCGGACGAGGTTTGATCCATCTATTGGCAGGCTAATTGTCCCAAAGTCGGTCCATCAACTGACTTGGATACAACCAGCATGTTAGACTTTAGCCTGCAATTATTGCCAGTGGCTATAGCTGCTAGCAGTAATCATTGTGTTCTCCAGGCAGGGATGGCTCCCCATGCCCAGCCCCTATGTCAGGAGATCACAACAGCTCTGCGGAAGGAAATCAAGCTATTTTTGTTCCTACAGCCTTTGCTCTCAGGAAAGTAGAAAATAGCATAATCTGTGTCATGCCTTAGTTCTTGGTCAGATATAATCATCTAATTCGTCTGTACAGAACACACAAATTACGGTATGTATCTATGTATGCCAACATCCACTATGACTGGAAAACTTCATAATGACCTGATTTCTGTAAAAAATCAGGCTGTGCAGTGGCACAGAATAAACCACTTGACCTCCGGAAACATTTTACCCCCCCTCACGACCAGACCACTTTTTTCTATTCAGCAGCGCCCTACTTTAACTGGCAATTGCACGGTCATGCAACACTCTAAACAAATGTAATTTATATCATTTTCCACTCAAATAGAGCTTACTTTTGGTGGCATTTGTAACACTTTTTGTTTTATTATATAAACAAAAAAAACCAAACATTTTGCAAAAATTATATTTGCTACTTTGTTATAAATCACATTCTATATATATAAAAAAAAAACAAAAAAAAAAAAACAAAAAGCCAAAAAACCCCCCCAAAAAAACAAAAAATCCCTGCAATCTCTCTTGCACTGAAACTGGGCAATAACCCCTTTACCCATGTGACCTGCAAGAGTTGCTTGGAGGTTCTGCTAATCTGTGCAGTGATCTAGGAAGGTTAGAAGAATGCCACCCAGGCATTTGAGAAGCCATCTGTTCAGATAATCTGCAAAAGCTAAAAGACATCTAGCTACTAAGAAAAGTGGGGGCATCCCATCATCCTGAAGAGGACTTCTCTGCAGGTTTGGGGGATTTAGAGGTCCAGAAATTGCCGTTGAATTGAGATCTGGCTTGGATCTGGTTTTAGAGGTTGAAGGTTGGATGTAACAGAAGGAATTCTTCTTGACCCCAGGGAGGGGGGTGGGGGCTGAGTTTTCCCAGTTTGAGGCCTAAGTTTCTTCTGCTGGCAAAGAGGACTACTCTTATCCCCAGATATCCCTGATGAGGATGTCCAATGCAGACCTGAAAAGATGCTGCCCTCAAAAGGGCATGAACAGAAGAAATTTTTACAAGCCTGCTCTTTATATTCACTGAGACTTATTCGGGGTATAACACAATAGATATGCACTAAATCATCTACACAGCTGTGTAATGAAGCCCACATGAACTCTAAGTACTCTACACATAAAAGATCAGTATGGATGGAAACTGGATCATTTTCTTTTTCTATTTATTCCCCTAATGTTTGACAGAGTCAAGTACAGCCTTGTCAGGGTGCAATGCAGGGTGAGCTAGATATAACAAACTTTTTGAAAGAATCCCCGAACATTTATCTATGGGATCCTTACACTGGTGCTATAAATGGTGGAAATGTCCCACTGCATAATAAATGGATTCCTCAAACAAATATGGAGCTGCATTTTGGAGGTGTGAATAGCTTTTCATGAGTCTCCCAGTGTTTGTACAAGATGTCTAGGAGTAAAGTGTGTATCAAAAAGTTATTACAGTCCTAGGGCCTCCAATGGATCTCAAAGTAGCAACAGCACTTGTAAAAGCTACAGGCAGTTCTTCCATTTTTACGGTGACATGCACCACATCAATAAGAGCCAAAATGGTTTCTCGAAGTCCAGGAGCTGCCTGCAACTCCGGCAGCTGCCTGTGACTCCACAGGGGCAATATCATCTGGCAAGGATTTTTGAGGTTTTTCATCAAATGGAGTCTCTGCAGCAGAAGGCTCAGAGGTCAAAGCTACAGGCAGGTAATAGAACGGTTTTAGAAGGGAAGATGGTGAGGCACATTCATAGCATCTGAAGTCAAAGCTGGCAATTCCATTTTCAATGTGGCCCATCCAGCATAACTATGAGATCCTCTTAGGATAAGGTTGAGGAGGTGGTAACACGCAATTGAGCCAGAAGACACAGAGTGATATAGGGACTCATGTAGGGGACAATGTTCCAGGCTATCAGCGTTGGGCCCTTCAGAAGTAACATTTTAGGCTACCCCACAACTGTTAGCAGATTGGGAGCTGGAGGCACCTGATATAACGGTACTGCTCCCCTTGCATTTGGGATCCGATACATTGCACTGGGTGGCAGCGACAACCTATCTCAGAATACCAGGTAAAACCTTGAGTACTCTCCAACCATCCAGTAAAAGTAGGAGAAGTTCAAATCACTGAAGAAGTCACTGTGGGCGGCAACAAGGACTAACAAATGAAATGGTGTGTCTTTTGCAATTATGAGCAAAATAAAAACAAAACAAAAAATGCCAGACTCCCCTAACATCAGTGTTAAAAACGTTCAGTGTGCATGAGGCCTAACTAGTATGTTGCTTGTCTTACACTGTCCAATCAGCAAGCCTGGATCATGTTTTAAATAATGAATGTGGGGAAAACTGTTAACACTTATCTGGAAATGCTATGTAGCAGGATTATCTGGATTATTAAACAGGCTGAAAAAAATGAATCCACAGAAAGCTGTTTGCTATGGGGCAGACTTGTGGGCTCGCTCCTGAGCTGGACTGTGTGTGCCTATAGATACACACAGTGCAGTTTGGCCCTGCCTCATGCTCTCTGCTCACAAAATTTTAAAGACAGCATTGTGACTTATTCAAAGAGTGATATGCACATTGTGTAATATTTGTGTTGTATTTTTAAGTGTTGTCTCCTTACACTGTAATATTGTTTCTTCTGCACTGCTAGCACCTCTTGATGGTGATGATGATTATTTAAAAGGGAAAGCACAACACTGCTGGGTAGATATTTTGTACATGTTGTGTATTCAGGAATCTTGGTGAGGCAGTTTTGGCTGATTTATTCTGCAGAGAGTAACCAATCATGCTTAGAAGGAACACGGACAATGCCCTATATACCTACACACTGCAGAAAATCAACTGGCATTCTTCTGAACCAGGAAAATTCTCTTTTTTGGTTGCAATAGACCACTGTTTTTATTGTTTTCTGCAAATCAATCCCCAGGAACATATGTGTTCCTTAATACAGTGTAGGAGCTATAAGAGAGGAGAACTAGGTTATTTATATCATAAATAAGAAAAACATGTGGTTAATATTGGGTGTGTGTGTGCATAATGGGAACACCATTAAACAATTTAAATACATAAAATAATATAATATTAGAAGTATGTGATAACTGCATCAATTGTAACTGCATTACAAATATTGATTTCAAAGTTGATGTTGAAATGACCAATGATGTATTTCAAACTATTATGTATATCACGCTAAAACAAAAAAAGGAAACAGATGGTGCTCTGCGGATATTTTGTAATACTTGCAAACACCAAAAATAGCAGACACATAACAAATTATCTGCAGATTGGGAATGTAAGCTTTATATAATAGCATCCCAGAACAATTCTTTTTTCAGGAAAGCAATACCATCTTCATTTACCCTTAAGAGAATTTGTATTAACAGGAAACAGTAAACTAGTAAAGCAGGCATCAAAAGGGGATACACCCCATTCAGATCTCCATGGAGCCCCTTTAAGTGCCACTGACTTCCTGGTTCTGAGAGCACAGGAAGCCGACACACTCCATGCAATTCTCATTGACTGGTATGGGGTGAAGGGCTTGTGTCACTGCTTTCCAAAAGTGCATTCAAACATGAATGTGCAGCATATGTTTTTAAGAATAGAGGGAACTGCACCTATTAAAGTACAGAATTGTGAGTAAATACCTACATTTAGACTATTATCCAATTTTTTTTTTTCCTATTGCAGTATTATGCAACTACACTATAAAAGTATTGGGACGCCTGAATTTACATGCACATGAACTTTAATGGCATCCTAGTTTTAGTCAGTAGGGTTCAATATTGAGTTGGCCCACCCTTTGCAGCTGTAAGAGCTTCAACTCTTCTGGGAAGGCTGTCCACAAGGTTTAGGAGTGTGTCTATGGGAATGTTTGACCATTCTCCTAAAAGCGCATCTGTGAGGTCAGGCACTGATGTCGGATGAGAAGGCCTGGCCTGCAGTGTCCACTCTAATTCATCCCAAAGGTATTCTATAGCGTTGAGGTCAGGACTCTGTGCAGGCCAGTCAAGTTCCTCCACCCCAAACTCGCTCATCCGTCTTTATGGACCTTGCTTTGTGCACTGGTATGCAGTCATGTTGGAACAGGAAGGGGCCATCCCCAAACTGTTCTCACAAAGTTGGGAGCATGAAATTGTCCAAAAATGTCTTTGTATGCTGATGCCTTAAGAGTTCCCTTCACTGGAACTAAGGGGCCAAGCCCAACCCCTGAAAAACAACCCCACACCATAATCCACCCCCACCAAACTTTACACTTGGCACAATACAGTCAGTACCGTTCTCCTGGCAACCGCCAAACCCAGATATGTTTAACAGATTGTCAGAGAAGAGTGATTCATCACTCCAGAGAACAAGTCTCCACTGCTCAAGAGTCCAGTGGCAGTGTGCTTTACACCACTGCATCAACCACTTTGCATTGCACTTGGTGATATAAGGCTTGGATGCAGCTGCACAGCCATGGAAACCCATTCCATGAGGTTCTCTATGCAGTGTTGTGCTAATCAGAAGGTCACAAGAACTTTGGAGGTCTTTATCTATTGACTTTGCAGACAGTTCAAACAGCGCTTCAGCATGTGCTAACCCTGCTCTGTCATTTTATGTGGCCTTCCACTTCATGGCTTAGTTGCTGTTGTTTCCAGTTGCTTCCACTTTGTTATAAAACCACTAATAGTTGACCGTGGAATATTTAGTAGCAAAGAAATTTCACGGATGGACATATTGCACAGGTTGCAACTTATCAGGGTATCACGCTTGAATTCATTGAGCTCCTGAGAGTGACCCATTCTTTCACAAATGTTTGTAGAAGCAGTCTGAATGCCTAGGTGCTTGATTTTATACACCTGTGGCCATGGACATGATTGGAACACCTGAATCCAACGATTTGGAGGGGTGTCCCATACTTTTGGCAGTGTGGTGTATAAAAAAAAATATGACAAATATGATGCAGTCTGTTACTAGCATTACCATATTAATTCTTGTTTTTATGAGTGCTCCCTGCAACAGTTTTGTTACCTGTTGATTCTGCCAGTAATGGTTATATTTCTACTTCTAGTGACTGGGTACACAGGAGCATTGTCACCCCATGGACAGGGTAGGTTTAGATGGATATGCAGAACAAGGTCATAGTGTCTCTGACAAAGGAATCCCCCGACTCCTTTATACTCATTTTACCTGCATTCCTCTTAAGCCAGACCTCAGACTGGCTGTGCCAGTGACCTAGAGGAGTGGTGTTTGTTTCTCCCTTTAATCATGTGAGAACTTGTTCACACTTGACTCAAAATGCTAACTCTTAACAAATGCACATATATCGTTACAGTGTTAATAGGTGCATTTAACTCGCTTTTACCGCATTATGCCCAAATGCTTGTTTGTGTGTGTTTTCAGTATGTTTGATGCACGTAAAACTGCATTACAAAAGCCTATAATAAACTGTAATGTTGTTAACTCACCACAACTGCACCACAACCGCCTCACAAATGCCTGCCAGCGCATTTGCAGAGTGTTACCATAGACTTGAATGAGAGGTGTTGAAAGGCTTCAAACTCCTTCAGACTGGACATTAGGCTTCAATTTTGAAGTGAAGTGTCGGGATGCTAACATTTCATGTGTGCTGTCCATAGTATCATTTGCATAGGTGTTTGAGGGGCGTTAACCACGCCCCTCAAACGCCTGCTTTCAATGGCAGTGGGAACTTAGCCTAACAATGCTTATGGCTAGTGATTTGTTGCAAAGCCTTATCAGGGGTAAAAAAAATTAGTAGATGGAAGTCTGGGGGGACCTTTCCAGAGACACTGTCATGTGCAAGCTAACATTTTTTTAGGCAGTTAAAACTACATAAAAAAGGTTAAAATGGAAACTGCAGGTATGATCTTAATTGCATACATACTGTACATTGGTACACCATGGACCAATGTTAAGTATGCAGATCTCATACCTGAGGGACTGCTGTGGAAGTTGACAATCACTGCAGTAGTCTGCACAACTACAGTGATTGGTGCAATCTTCGAGGTCCTGTGCCAATGTGCCAAGCAGCTGGCCCTCTGCACAATGATCACAAGGGGTCATTCAGTCAGCACTGCTGCAGTTCATGGAATGCCCTGTATATTATTTTTACAAACACAAGGCGTTTTCGGATTGGACTAAGTGTTGAGAAGGAGCACTGACATCACAATCCCCACCTTGTCTAGAGAACACCCTGCATTCAAATTGCAAAAAAAAAAAAAAAAAGAGTTCTGTGAATGGCAGCAGTGCCGAGTGAGTGATTCTCTGTGGTCAGTAACTCAGCATAGGACTCAGATGCTTGTGGCGATCACTGCTGTAGCGCCAACTACTACAGTGATTGAGAGGTTGTACAGCAACTTATCTCTAGTATGAGGTATGTATACTTGAAATGATTCAAGATGGACAAATGTAAGCATGCAATTAGGATCAGAAATGGAGTTCAAACCAAACCATATAAGTAAAAGCTGACCACTGTAAGCACACCTGTTAGTGTTATAATGGCTTGTCTCAACTTTAACTCCCACTGGACAGCTTGGCTGTTAAAGGAATAGGAAAAAATAGTAGAACTACTGTTAGCATCAGCAAATAATAAAACTGTGTTAAAGGAGGACAGGGAGGGGGTGAGCTCACAAAAACAAAAACTGCTGTGTTAATGCTTGTGAAATACAATATACTGTACAGTTTATGACTCTTGAATTTTGATCATAGTCCTGCTTTAACAAATGCAATCAAAACAGCCTTGACATGTTCCATAAATATAAAAACAGTGCAGGATTTAGCATCTCCCTTGTCAAACCCTTAAAGGTTCACTTTTTTTTTGACAGTATACCATGTTCTCACTTTGGCTTTTAGCAATTCAAAGAGAATAACTAAAACAATCTGCCACTGATTAGTAAAGATGTACTGATTTGTCTGCTTATCTTCAGTTACTGACTGCAAAACATTTGGCACGTAGCCTAGGCATGGAAAGTATATTTACACTGAATGATGTAGTTGGCCTTGATGAGGAAAAAGTATAGTATGGCTTAGAAAAGCGCGTATTTGGGATGATAGAATTCACTGTTGACAGGAGAGCAGGCAGAAACATTCTGCACCGTTCTATCACAATACAAAGCAGCATACAAGGTTAGAGTAAATATTCACAAGGTTCTGTGAGAGTGGAATGAGAGTAGAAAGCTAAGCAAAAGGCAGAATATGATTTTATGTGCAAAGAACATTACGGTTTATAAGTTGAAAACTAAAAATTTCCTTTTTTGTTATATTTTAAATAATTAATCAAAAACAAAAAGGAATTGTGGGTTGATGCTAGACTAACTGCTAGTATGTTATATCTCTCAGATAATGTGGGCTTGGACAGCCCAGAATCTCTTACGTACTGTGGATATTAAAATAGGGTCTCACTTTAATTGTTGGGATGTCCTTCTTTCTTATTATGGAACACACAGCAAAAGGACTGATGCACATGTCGCTGCATTAGGAACCCTAAATGTCTATGGTGGAAGGAGAGAGACAGGTATGAAGGACTATGGAATAATAAAGCTCATCAGCAACAACCCTCTGCTCATTATTGAAACACTGTTTTAACACACAGTTTGGGGAATCTGAGGAGTCTAGCCATGTATAGGAAATAATATTACTGTTCTCACTACAGGTGTTTTGCTACAAATCGACTTTCAGGCGAACATTTTCAGAGATTTGGATGTATACGAATCTCCAAATGGACATAGCAAAGAAAGTCAATTAATACAAAAAAAAATTATAAAGGAATGCATTTTGTTTCATTCGTAGGACGTCACACAATGCGATAGTAGTTCAGGCCCATTGGAAAAGAAATAACATTTTTTTAATTAATTTGATAATTCAGATTCGAGCAAAATTGTGATTTAAATTGAATTTGTAATTGTCACAGTCAGTTCAGTTCCTTATGCAGGCCATAGAGGGGTCGAAAATCGGCCGATTTTCGGATCGTTAGTGGGTTAAGAGGTCGGCCGTTTTTTCGGGATTTTGGCACTTTTTTTTTATCGGTAAAGTTGGAAAAAAAATCGGCCGATTTTGCCGATCGGACGATTTTCGCAGCAATGATGGGGAAATTGGCCGATCTTTTTACCGATAAAAAATCTGAGCATGAGCCGTGACCTGCAAGAAGAAGAAAAAGAAGAAGACGAAAAAGAAGGAGAAATAGAAGAAAAAGAAGAAAAAGAAGAAATAGAAGATGAAGAAATAGAAGAAGGAGAAATAGAAGAAATAGAAAAAGAAGAAATAGAAGAAGTAGAAAAAGAATAGGAATTCCAGTCCATTTTTACAAGTATCCTCCTGCGCTCAATATAGACACGATCCCTACCTTAACAGCTGCTGTCACTCTACCTTAACCATTAAGTAGCCAAATATATACAAAAAATAGTGAAGCGCTTAATAAATAAACATATAAAACTACATATATTAAGGTGCCATCAGTGAATAAAGTGCTAAACGTTAATATTCCTTGTAAACGCTGGAATATTATCAACCAATATTAATTAGAAGTAGTATTAAACCAACCAAACTGAATTCCTAATTTATCAGTGATAAACACAACAGTGACAAATGATGATATAACTCCACAGAGGTATCCTTATCCTCCTTCACTGTTTAAATAAAAAGTGCAATAATTGAAGTGATAAGTGTATACAAAAAAACTTTTTTTAAAAGTGCATATACAAATCATATATATATGTATAAAGCATACATCATATATATATAAATAAATAAATAAAGTCCATGCAAGTGTAACTTGTGATAGAACAGTGATCTCCACTTCTAGTGCTCAAACACAAATCCTCAAATGGCAGCAGTGCCTGCTCACCTCCCCGCACTGACCCTCAAGGGGCCAAAAGGCTACTGATCTCCTCTATGGCAAACTTTCTCCTCCTCCTCTCGGTAGCTCAGCAGGTGATCCCAAGGTCTCCACTTCTCCTCCACTCCAATACACTCTGCAGGTGACCTACACTTTGGTTTTGGACGCTCTTTCCATTGACCTCAAGGTTTTCATCCCCCACATGAAGTGAACCTTATTAAACTGTCCCAGAAAGGGTCTTGGTTGGGAGGTGGCGCGCGCCACCTGATAAATTGAGGTAAATTTAAATAAATTAGGAATTCAGTTTGGTTGGTTTAATACTACTTCTAATTAATATTGGTTGATAATATTCCAGCGTTTACAAGGAATATTAACGTTTAGCACTTTATTCACTGATGGCACCTTAATATATGTAGTTTTATATGTTTATTTATTAAGCGCTTCACTATTTTTTGTATAAATTCCAGTCCATTATATTTGACATGACAAAGTATTGCGGTTACAACAATGTATCTATTTGCATCCTAATAAAAACATCTGTATCCGAAATGGATACAAATAGATACATATTGTTGCAACCGCTATACTTTTTTATGTCAAATATATTAGCGGAGCTCTCTGCAGGGACAGAAGTAATTAAATGCCAGCTGTAGACAGGACGAAAATCGGACGATTTTTTTTTTTCGGTTGGTGGTAACGTCGGCCCATTGAACAACTGGTTTTTCGTTTTTTTGTTAAAAAAACAGCCGGTTTTCGACCCGTCTATGGCCTGCATTAGTCTAATGCAATTCTTAGGTTTGCAAAATTCGGGGCTGCCAAATTTTGCATGCTTTATTTTGTGGAGTCCAAAAATATTGAATAGTTTTGATATATGAACAAATCCATCCCAAATATTGAAAGTGAAAACTAATATATAGCAATCTTTTGAAAAAAATGCAAGTCTTTTAATCCATCCGGACCAACAAATATATAAAATGAATGCTGAAGATGCGAAAT